ATACTTAAATATATAAACCTTCTGCTTACCTTTTCTATTGTTTATAACCAATAAACGTTTCGAACTGCGTGCAACACTATGTAATATTATAAATATGTGGTATTAAATAATAAATTAAATATTGAATAATAATTTACTATAAATTTTTGACATTTAATTAAAAATACATTATAAATTTATTAAAAATTTAATTTTTAATAATATTTTGTTTTTAAAATTCTTATTAAAGCAAATATTATATATTTCAATAATTTATGATTATTTATAATATATAAAATGAAATTATTTTAAAATTATACATTTATTTCATCTTTAAAACAATATATATATTGTTTACTTTTATATTATATTTAAAATTTAATAATTTATCTTAGCTTGTATAGTTACTTCTTTCACCTTACAGAAGATAGTCGCAACATCATCCGCATAGCATCTTTATCTGAAGAAAATTTATCTCTAATGGCTTAAGCTAATGAATTATTAGGGTGATCGGTTGTTTTTTTTTGATATGCCTTAATAGCATGGTATGGTTTATATGTAACCTAATATAATTAAGCTTTTTCACAAATTATATTCATTTGAATTAATAAAAGGTTTTGTTATTCTAAGATTGGCGTGTAATGGCATAGAAACAAAATAATATTATCATGAAAATCTATGTTAAATCCATTTAAATTAGAAAATCATATATTACGGAAGGTTGAAACTCATTCATTATAAATAACTACCTAATAAACGATTTCTTTAAATGCGGTTAAAAAAAATTTTAATGCAAAGAGCTTGCGAGAAAGGTTCCAATTTGCACGATTAACTTTTTACAGACAATTTCTTGTATTCCCTTCCCGAATTTAAGAACGTCGAAAGTTTTCAAAACATGTCGTTCTTTTTTAATATTGCATGAAAAAATTCTTGGGAAAAAAACAAAAAAACTATATACCATATGTGACGCAACAATCGTTCTGGCTTACTGCGACGTGCTCAAGATTTAATCTACCAGAATCGAGTAAGAATTTAACAATTTTCATAAAGATGATGTTTTAATAACTTGAAAATATTAAAATAAAAGAAAGTCATTCAATTGAAAAATATATTTATAGAATATATGAATTATTAAAGAAAACTTATAAGCATTTCGTAAATTCGGAGGACATGCCATGCATTAAAAAAAAAATATTCATGTGCGCACGGTAACCATCCACTTCAACTGAAACATCGAAAAACTTCTAATAACTCTGTATAGATTCAATTTCAAATTTTGTTAAAAATTTATCAATTTAAAGAAAAAAATGATAGAATAGCATCAATTGATGTATTGTTTATTAAATATGAAAAAACTTTATATATAATACAACCATATTTAAATACATAATATAAATAAATAAAAATTTCTATTTCTTGATAATTTGGAATACTTCATAATCTTCTATAGGAAAGGCATCATCATTATTCCTTAATTTTCTTTGGTAATGATTTTTTTGACAACAAATTATATTATAATCTGTTAATTCACTTAAAAAAGAGTACATCACTAGATCAAAGAAACCAAATCGTGGTCCGTTTCTCTTTCCATAATTTAAAGCATGAGCTGCATCCCCGACATAACTTAAAATCGCATCTTCGATAACGTCATCCTTATTTTTAAAAGAAAATATAAAACTATCTTTAGTTTTACCCCATCCATTAGTAGATTTCCATATTAAAGGATTATAACCACCGACAATCTCTTCCGAATCTTTTAATTTAATGAAGGTGACAGTAATAGGTTTATTATCACATAATGAGTGAAAAGTTTTGGGAGTAAATCCGTCTCGACTTCCCCTCAATAATAATTTAAATTTGTATGGTAAATATAATCCTCTAACGCTATTACCATCCACTTTATCTATCCAAGTGGAAATTAAGGAAGCAATATTGATACTAACGATATTTGAATCAAAATGTTTTGCATCCGAATTTCCAACTCTAGGAGGTAAAATATTATAATCTGCTTCACTTTCTGGATCCATGTGAAATGTTAGTAAATTTTCATAAAGTCGATGCTCTAAAAGCTTTTCATATGGACGAACTCCTCGTAAAAAGTCCTTGGAGGATAAGCTAAAAAATCTGATCAAAGGTAAACAATTTTGCAAGACTTTTTCCATTGATTTGAAATCATCATCAGACCAAGTTGTGGGGTCAGGTTTAAGGGCTGGCTTTTGAGTAAGACCCCAATTTAACACATGTTCCCAAACTTCAATTTCCTTCATTGCCAAATCGTCCCTTTTGATGATAGATTTTAAAGTATTTTCAGAAAGTAAAATCAAGTCCTGCGATTTAAGTGCTTTCTCGGGCGATTCAGCTATTAAATCCGCACAAAATTGTTGAAGTTCTAGAAAATTGTTAGATTGAAGACTTGCTTGGTGAACTAAATTAAAATTTTTCTCCACCCATTCGGATTTATTTTCAATTAAAAATTGTTGTAAGTAATAAACCAATTCTTGAAGAAATAGTTTATCAGCAGCTGTCAAGACTTTAAGTATGTCTGAAACGTCTTGCTCGTCTAATGAAAGGATGCCGCCATAAATATATCTATTTATATATTATAAAAGAGAGGATTGAATTAATATATTGAAAATTATAATATAAGTTCGTTTTGTATGTTAACAGCTTACTTTAAAATAATTTGAAATGCTTCCGGTGAAACATTTGGTAATTTCAAATGAGCTTCTTTATCATTACACTTTTTATTTGAAACCAAAACTCGTCGAAAGTATGACGAACGATAACACAAAATATTCATGTGAGCGTGGAATACTTTTTCAGGAACTTCACCAACTTCCACAACAACATCATAATATTCTTCATCATCCATTAATTCAATATAATTTTGACTTAAGTTTGAAAAGAATTGAGCTGTCATTTTTTAGGAGGAAAGGGATTGAAATAAAGTTAGGTAGGTTGCAGCAGATTAGTTTTTTTTTTATGTCAATTTTAGGTTGAGTAACTGGACTATACCACATTTAGATTTATTGATTAATTTAACGGGAATGAACTATTTAGGTTAATCATTTATTTTTTTAACTCTGGCGGGAACTATCAAATATATTCAAAAAAATCACGTGTACTTGACGGATTATTCGAGAAAAAATTTTTATAGCCGCAGTATTTATGACAATAGCTTAAATTTCTTTTATTTCATTATTCGCTATAATTAATATGCGTAGTGTTGTATTAATATATAGTCCTGTAATCTGACTGAGAATCGAGAGTCTTGGAACTTATAGGCTCTAGCTTAATAATAATAAAAAAAAAAAATACTAAATTACACTTTCAAAACTTCTTCTTGTTCTCATATAGGCACCGTCATTACACAATTGGATCGAAATAAATCGTTATATCCCTTGAGAAAGGCCTTTAGCCGTTTGTCTGTTATTGGTTTCGACACAATTCCAGGTTTAAGACCATAAAGGACCAAATAGTGTTCATTGGGTATTGTATATGTTTATTTTAAAATTTATTTATTGAGGTATAGTTCCTCCAAAAGCATAGCGCTCTCGACTTACGCTGAAATATACAATACTTTTGCATATTCTGTTTTCATAATTTTTATGACAATATATATATAAACATTATAAAAATTTGAAGCGCTTAAACTGGTTAGAATATTTTACTTTTTTTTTTAAAAAAAAAATTGTAGGATTTTTATTGGAAAACTTCAATAAGAAGACTTACAATAATTTTTCGCAAACTAAGCTACATCAAATCTACAAATTTATATTACTTCCATTAATAGGTTTCGAAATAGCATTTAAAAGAAAAGATAAGTAGTATTTGAAATTTGAAATTGCCAATGGCAATTTGAATTAAAATTAAAGTTGCGTCTTTATATTACACACTCTTGAAATTTTTCGACGCCCAAAATAATCCAAATTCAGTTCATGAAAATTCTCTTGTTTTCAATCCAAAATTCCAATTGACTTGAAACAATTATCAATGTTAATGACGACAGGCATTTTGCGGTGCTTCAAAAATTATCATGATTTTATAAGGTCGAATAATATTGATGATATGCGACTCTTATGAAGTAAATCATCCTCGATAATTCCTTTTACTTTCTAATTAATGTAAAAAAAAAAAATGTATATAATAGAATATGAATGATTCTTGCCAAATGGAGGTACTCTTTTTAGCTAGATGACGGAATATTTTTTCGCGTGTTTTTTGTTTAACATTCCATACTTTTATTCTAAGTCGACAATGAAGACTTATAAAAATATATTAAGGTTAATATTATGAATACAAATTATTTACTCTAAAAAATATTTACACACTTGACTAAATAAATAATCACTGGTTGTATTAATCATATTGAAAAAATATTTTATTGTTAGCCTTAAAAAATTAAAACTAATAGTAGGCGACTTCGTCCCCACCCAACTTATTGATCTGCTCCATTTATTACAGTATAGTTTAAAAGAATCTTTTATTATAAAATAGTTTGTCAAGATTCTGATACGTTATTTCAAACCCAAAAGTTTTTAACTTTATCATCACAATTATTTTCAACGAGATGACCTTGCATTAGATAAAACTGACGTTTGAGATTATTTGATGAAGTGGACTTTTGTGCAAATTCCTACTATTGTATAAGATCCTTCAAGATGGACCAAAGAGGATCTTGAGATTATGGAACAAACCATAATTCCATTAATTAAATTTGGCTTAAAATATGATGCATTGGAATTATGCAATCATGACTTTCAGGGTAAAAATCAGTATCCCATAGTTCAATATTACATGTTTCTACATTGCTAAAATAATATCAAACATTTGGAGAACCTGCAGGTTGATACCAAGTAAAGTATATTAGAAAATGTTTAGTCAGTCCATATGGTAAATCAACTATATGGTAAAATAATTTTGAACTTGACCTGAATAATATTCAATACATCATCATTCATAATAAATTTGGCCAAAATGTATGAACTTTTCATATGATTAATATTCTAAATTTCAAACTGATTTTTTTCTGATTTTTATATTTAAGCTAAATGAAAGCGATTTTAAAAACCATCAAACTGAAATAGGATAATACCTACAATATTACATTTAATTGTGAAACAAATATCCAAAAGTGAAAAAGTCTAAACACAGAATTATGAAAAATCTTAGCTCTGTATTTTTAACCTTCTATTAACCAATTGATGAACTGGTTTCAAAGCCTTTATGAATCATGATGATCAGTTTGATAAAATAAGTGAAATGAAAGAATAGTAGTACAAGATGTTAGTAAATAAAATTACTTTCAAATTTGATTTATTAATCTCATTGGTTAAAATGATACAATTCGGCTAACAATCAGATGTCTAAATTGTGTCTGAATTTATGCTGAATTATGTCTGAATTATGGCCAAATTGTAATAAATTTGGTTTAATTCCTACTGGCACAATTCAGCGCCAATAGAACCAATTCAAACATAACAATTCAAACACAATTCAACCTAAAAATTAAGCTTAAAATCAATCTAAATTCAGCCACAATTCAGATACAATTCAGCTAAAAATCATTCTAATTCAACAACTTAAATCAAATTAACCACAAATTAATCATAAATCAGATACAAATCAGACATAATTTGCCAAAAATCAACCTAATTCAACCATTTAAAATTAACCTAAAATCGCAAATCAGAACTAACAAATTTAAATTTATTTAAATTTATTAAATTTATATTTTATTATTTTATATAACTGATAACACTTTTAATATATATAATAAATAAAGTAAAATAAAGAAATGAATCAAAAATTTCACCTTCAATTGATTTATCATAGAATATTCCTAAAAAAATAAGGAAAAAAAAGAATAATGATAAATTTTTATCTAAAAAGTTACTAACGATTTGCTTACCTTAATTTGAAGATAAGAAATTTCCTAAAAAAAACAAGAAAAAGAAAAGAAAATAGTGAATTTTCACCAAAAAATTCACAAACGATTTGTATACCTTAATTCCAAAATGATAATTTTCCTAAAAAAAAGAAAAAGAAAGAAAAATCCACTTAAAAGTCATTTCAAATTTACATTTCTTATTTTCAAAATGAGAAATTTCTTTAAAAATAAGAAAAAAAAAGGAAAATTTAACCAAAAACTTACTTCTGATTTACTTATCTTATTTCCAAATGAGAATTTTCCTACAAAAACTAGAAAAAGAAAAGAAAATCCATCCAAAACCTTTTTCCGATTTACTTATATTTAAAATGAAAATTTTCCTAAAAAAAAAACAAGAAAAAATAAGGAAAATAGTAAATTTTCACCCAAAGAATTTACCGCATTTCTGAAATTAGAATTTTCCTAAAAAAAATGGTAAAAATCTTCAAGGTAAGAAAAAAAATACAGAAAAAAAAGAAAAAAGGTTAAAAAAAAGAAAATTTTTTTTTGGATTAATCTGAAAGTTTTCGATTAATTTGAAATTTATTCATAATTTTTCTAGCCAATTAAAACATCATTTCTATTGAATGATTTGTATCGTCTCTTAAGAAATGATGATTTGATTCTTCAATTGAATGACTTTTTACTATCTGATTAGAATAATGATGTTGATTTGAACAATAGTGTATTATCTTTTCAAAACGCTTTTGCATCATTCGATTGGAATAATTTTAAATAGTTCAAATTAAATGATCATCATTTTAAAAGAAATGATATTTTATCATTCTTATAGAATAATGTTGAATCATTCAAATCGAACGATCATCATTTCAAAAAGGAATGATTTTTATTGTTCTTATAGAACGATCATTGTTTCAAAAGAAACAATATTTTATCATTCTTATTGAATGATGATTTAAGGTTCCTTTGGGATAATTTTTTTGATTATTCTTAATGAATGATGATTCATCATCCCTTTGGAACAATTTTTTTGATCATTCTTAATGAACAATGATTTATTGTCCTTTTGGAATAATTTTTTTAATTGTTCTTATTGAATGATGATTATCGTTCCTTTGGGATGATTTTTTAAACTGTTCAATAAGAATAATAATTCATCATCTCAAAGGGATGATTTTTTGATCGTTCTTAATAAATGATCGATTTATCATCACAAAGGGATGATTTTTTAAATATTCTTATTGAACAATGATTTATCATTCTAAAGGAATGATTTTTCAAATCGTTCAATAAGAACAATGATGTATTGTCCCAAAGGGATAATTTTTAAAATGATAGTCTATCATCCCTTTAGAATAATTTTTTAATTGTTCCTATCAGAATTACATTATCTGATTGGAACGATGTTGAATTATTCTTTTTGGATAATGATTATATCATTCCATTTGGAACGATTGTTTACTATCATATTTTTAGGATAATTTTTCCAATTGTACAATTTTTGCATTATCCTATTAGACCAATCAGAGCTAATTTTTAGCTCAACTCCAATTTACCATAAATCAGTCATAAATATGATGGCTGATTTTTGACAGATTTCTGAATTTAGTTTGAATTGTCAATAAATAGCAAATGGCGATTTTTTTGATTTCAATTAGTGTCTAAATTTAATGTAATTTTATTATTTTAAAAAAAAATACAACAAGTTTTGACTTAATCTCAAAATTATTTTTCATTAGTTAGTTAAATGGGTTTTGTATTTATTTTATTATTCATGAAAGTTTTGATTAAAGAGCAGAGTTTACAAAGTCGAGATTTTGAGTAAAGATTATCAAACATTTATTTATGCAAATTGATGTATGAATTTTGAAATATAAAGAGCATCCTTTACTATAAATACTAACCAACCATCTATATCATTTACCTAAAATTAATGAGATAAATGATAATGATAAATAAAAATCTATCATCACTTTATCATTCACTAAGAATGATCAAAAAGATCATCCTTTTGAGACGATGAATCATCGTTCATTAAAAAGGATCAAAAAATTATCCCAAAGAAATGATGAATTATTTTTCATTAAGAACAATTAAAAAATTATTCCAAAGGGACGATGAATCATTGTTCATTAAGAACCATTAAAAAATCATCCTTTTGAGACGATAGACCATTGTTCTTATTAAACAATTTAAAAAATCATTTTAAAGAGATGATAAATCTATCATTCATTAAGAACGATAAAATATTGTTCCTTTTGGAATGATGATCATTCGATTTGAACGATTCAAAATCATTGCTTTTGGAATAATAATCGTTCTTTAAGAACAATAAAAATCATTCCTTTTTGGAATGATAATTGTTCGATTTGAATAATTTAATATCATTTTATAATAACAATAAAATATCATTTCTTTAGAACAATAATCGTTCAATTTGAATGATTTAATATCATTCTATGAGAACGATAAAATATTATTCCTTTTGGAACAATGATTGTTCAATTTGAATGATTCAATATTATTCTATAAGAATGATAAAATATTGTTCCTTTTGAAATAATAATCATTCGATTTGAATGATTTAACATCGTTCCAATCAGATGATGCAAAATTATCTGATTGAAATGATAAAACTATCATCCTGAAAGAATGATATACTATTGTTAAAATTAATATCATTATTCTAATCAAATGATAAAAAGTCATCTGATTAAAAGATCAAATCATTATTGTTAAGCTTAAACTGTTCGTCGTTAAGTTAACAAAGATTATTTGCTAGCAAAGAGTTTAAGTACATTTAAACTATGGAAGAAATAAATACGAATAGTTAAATTGAAGGGTCAGATCGTCTTTATTGATATAGATTTAAAGAAGAATGAATTGTTTTACGAGCAAAGATAAGTTTTAGAGATAAATGTTATTGTTTTATTAGAGAATTGGTAGCAACTCTGCCATTTAGCAGGTCAAAGATATAGAGTATTCATATAAAATAAAACAATAGTAAATAAAATATGATAAATAAGATAAATATAATAAATATAACTAATCTATCTAAACTAACAAATATAATATATATAACAAATATAATAAATCTAGTAGATCAGTCAAATATGACCAATATGTCATATTTGTCAGATTTGTTCAATTTATTATATCAGTCAGATCAGCCAACCAATTAAAATCTCATGATTGACTATAGTTAATCAGTGCAGCGTGCATCACGCTTTCATCGTCTCCTAAGGAATTATACAAATCATTCAATTGAAATGATGTTTCAATTGGTTAGAACAATTATACTTTTTTTCTTATCTTGAAGATTTTATCATTTTTTTTTAGGAAAATTCTTATTTCAGAAATGTGGTAAATTCTTTAAATGAAAATTTACTATTTTCCTTATTTTTTCTTTTTTTTTTTTTTAGAAAAATTTTCATTTTAAAAATAAGTAAATCAGAAATAAGTTTTTGGGTGATTTTCATTTTAAAAATAAGAAATGTAAATCTGAAGTGACTTTTAGGTGGATTTTTCTTCTTTTTCTTTTTTTTAGAAAAATTATCATTTTGGAATTAAGGTAAGTAAATTGTTGGTAAATTTTTTGGTGAAAATTTACCATTTTCTTTTCTTTTTCTTTTTTTTTAGGAAATTACTTAAGATAAGTAAATCGTTGGTGACTTTTTGAATGAAAATTTACCCTTTTTTTTTCTTTTTCTTGTTTTTTTTAGGAAATTTCTTACCTTGAAATTAAGGTAAGCAAATCGTTGATGACTTTTTGGATGAAAATTTACTATTTTCCTTTTCTTTTTATTATTTTTTTTTAGGAACTTTCTTATCTTAAAATTAAGGTAAGCAAATCGTTGGTGAATTTTTAGGTGAAAATTTACCATTTTCTTTTCGTTTTCTTATTTTTTTTAGGAAATTTATCATTTTGAAATTAAGATAAGCAAATTGTTAGTAACTTTTTGGGTGAAAATTTATTATTTTTCTTTTTTTTTTCTTTTTTTTTTTAGGAATACACTATGATAAATCAATCAAATGTGGAATTTTTGATTTATTTCTTTTTTTACTTTATTTTTTATATATATTAAAGTGTTTCTTTCTAAGGAATTTAAATTTATCAGTTATGTAAAATAATAAAAATATAAATTTAATAATTTGAAATAATTTAAATTTGTTAGTTCTGATTTGCGATTTTAGGTTGATTTTAGATGGTTAAATTAGGTTGATTTTTGGCAAATTATGTCTGATTTGTATCTGATTTATGATTGATTTGTGGTTAATTTGATTTAAGTTTTTAAATTAGGATGATTTTTGGCCAAATTGTATCTGAATTGTGGCTGAATTTAGATTGATTTTAAGCTTAATTTTTAGGTTGAATTGTGTTTGAATTGTTATGTCTGAATTGGTCTTATTGGTGCTGAATTGTACCAATAGGAATTAAACCAAATTTATTACAATTTAGCCATAATTAAGACATAATTCAGCATAAATTCAGACACAATTGTAACATCTGATTATTAGCTGAATTATATCATTTCGACCAGTAAAAGACTTTTTTTAAGATAATTAGCAGCATTAGAATATTTATTACATAATAATAACCACTTTTGTTCAAATATTATTTGATTTAAACTATTATAACATTCATAAAATCCTTTTTGAATTGTTCAAATAATTTACCAAGTTTTGTTTTAAGATATAAAGGAAGATTTTGGCTAATGTGCAAAATATAATGTATAGGATAAGTTAAAAAATATTTCAATTGAATAGCAACATCTATTCTGGAATCAGCCTCTGTTATGAAAACTTTTAGAGGAATTCCTTTAGCATCTATTGTATATTTAAAAACCCATACATAAGATTCTTTTGTTTCTCGATCTATTAATGCTTGTGCTATAATTTGAAACTTCATATTATTGTCAAATACTATGAAAAAAGATAGTGATAACTCATATCTAAGGTTGTTTGTCTAAACACATTTTGGATTTGGCTAAACGTCTAAATCTTTAATTTTGCTAAATTTTTACTAAGTAATTGACATAATTTCGCCATTTTATAAGCTTTGATATAGTTTTACCTTTTTCTGAATTTTGCAGATTTTTTAATAAGATTTTAATATAATTTAACCAAGTTTTACTTTTACTATTTAGACATCTGTCTAAATTCTGCATTTTGTCCAGCAACCTTACTCATATCTATTAGTTTTTTGCAGTATTATCACTCATGATAATTAATCCAGATTTCCAATTGATTGAATTGATTGGGATTCATCCAAAAGATTTTAGTTAAAGTATTAGTTTCGTGATCCTAATCTTTATAAATTATCTAACGAAAATCTTCTTCTTTAAGCTTCTCAAGATATTCAAATAGTCGTGACATATCATTTTCTAATTGAGAATTTGCTCGGTGATATTTATAAATAACTTTATAAAGGTCTTTATTATAGACCTTTCTGTTTTATTTAGCTTATAACATTTGTTTAATAGATAATAGCTTCAGATGACCATATAAACACATCCACTCAATATCATCTAACATAGGCTTTGTCAAAGCCTTATCGATCTCAAACTGACACATTGTAGGATCCAAACTGTGTTCATAATGCTTATTAAATAGCATAGTATAACTGGACAGGAAAGATTTACATGACATGCCATTTACAATTTGTCCGTTGAGATTTTGAAGGTTTGGTTTGGTTTTTATTGTTTTATTAGTATTAATTCCTTGACAAAGACATAATATTATTTGTTTTCTACATTCATTTAGCAATTTTTCTGATCTTTCTTTTCGAATAAAATAATTTTGTTGGGATGATCATTGTTTGATGTAATCGCCTTCTATTTGAGTAAGAGAATTAATTTAGGGATAGCTTTATAGTTTAGTATAGGCAATAATAATGAATAAATAATAAAGTTTTTATTAAATAAAATAAAGGGAATAGTTTTATAATAAATAATAAATGAATACAAATAAAATGTACGATTACTGCCTCTGCAGGCGCTCTGTAATTGGTCCAAAGAGAAAAGAACTATCTAAAACAAAATGTTCAAATCCTATCGTATCGTTAACCAAGAGCAAAACGAAGCTCTTTTATATTATAAATAGGATGACGGAATTACCAATTATTTGATCCTTGATGTCAAATATGGTCATTTTGACATATATCTTTCATCTTGTCAAGAAATCCGTATTGTCCTAAAGATCTGAAGTGTCAATATGTCAGAATTGACATATATTGATCGTCACAGCCGGTGATTTAAACCCGAGGGTGACATAATCAAATGAAGGTTTCCAGGTAAGAAATGTTAAACCAACTTCTAATGTCAAAGGAGAACTTTGAATATGAATTAGCAGAAGTGTTTTCCGGACCTTTGGGATGGTCTTTTTTCATCACTACTGTCACTATCCTCCGGAATATTACTTCAGGAAAATATTCTGTATCAGAATCATCACTGAACATGGAATCCGTATCATTCATTTCTATTGTATATAATTTGTAAAAAAGAAGGAAGGATGAAACAATGGATGGCTATAGGCAAAAGCCACAAGAAAGTTTAATAAATACATAGCGTAAACTAAAAAAGTCTAATTTTATTTTCATTCTGATTGGATAAAATACATATTTATTTTTTCATGAACTTGCCAAATTATGTTATAGAAAATTAAAAAAATTCGATTAGAATTACTAAAAAAAAATGTAATTTGTAAAAAATTCATATTTATTACAAGAAATACGATGAAATTTTAAGTTTTGTTTTACGTGATATCTGATCTAAAACAACTTAAAATGTTATTAACGTTAAATTGTTCGTAGTATAAAATAAATAGCTACTTTAGTCCTAATCCTTCTGCTTTACTTTAATAAATTCCACTCACTTTTTATAGAAAATAACTCATTTGCATATTCAAATTTGCTCTGATTTAAATTGGGATATTATACAAATTATGCCAAAATGTCCTTTTTCAATTTAAAATCGTATTGCAAAATTGGCCAACCTCATAATTTTCGTTATTCCTTTTTTCGATATTGCTATTTTCAATATTGGTTTTAAATTGAAATGGAGATTCCTACATGGCAAGATATACCAACGTCATCATTCGCTTTCATCCTTTCTAAACTCGTTTATTGCTAATTTTTCATTGAACATCGCCCATATTGTCGTTGCAATCGCTCTGATTAATTGATTTTTTAATTTAATTACCTGCCTTAAGGTAACGCTAAGATACGGTTTCGGAAACCGTTGTTAAGTTCGGATCACAAGGGTAACGAAAGGGAAAAATCACGTATCGACTCAATGTTTGAGCGGGCGGACATCGGGACATTTAGTTAATGAGCCGGATTAATTAATTCCGTACCTAATTTACAACTATTTGCAGAGATACAGTACAGCAGAATCATTTCAAAAGCAAAAAAGTGATCCGGATTTTTCTAATTAGCCAATTGAACCATTTCCTATTGGATTTATATTGATGAAGTCCGTATATTCATAATAACTAAGATATCCATTAAAAATTAATAATTCTATCCAATCGCAAATTAATGTTTTAAGGTTATTTTAATTGACGGATTGATATATATATATGTTTTTTTATCTGATTTAAGCTTATGTATTTGAACGTTTCCATAACATTTAGGCAAGTTTCTAATTAAAAGCACGTTACGAAACATATGTCTTAACATGAGACGAGATAAACTAAATCTTAAGACGTAATTTTTAACGCATAATGACCAAAGTAAACGTAAAACCCCAACGTGGCGTGATATTGCGCCCTTCAAGCATCGTAACGTGAGAAATTGATCAATGATATATGCAATTGAACTCGAAATAGGAGAATCTAAATAAATAAAAAAAATATATAATATGAGAATAAGAAAGCAAATTCTCATGCCTATTTATCAAATGATCAAAGTGATATTTACTAAAAGTTATTATCATAACTTTCTTGAAATTTTGTAAGTTTTCAATTTTTATTAGGCTAATTATGGATAATTCCAATCATACTTTTTAATAAGATAACTACCAAAATTTTTCTTTTTTAAAAAATAGTTCTAATAATTAGAAAGAGCTTTAGTACCTAAAATTTCTTTTTTCATGTATTTTTACTAATAAAATTGAAATTTTTTTATCTGTCAGTCAAACAGAAACTTCGCTTCGTTTTCATGATTGATTGCTATTATTATTATTTTGTTAACGTGATCATGAAAGAAATCAGTTTATTATATTACATAAAAGTAGCATATTAAACAAACTATGTTTGAGTAGAATTCAAATTATAATCAATTTTTTATAGTTTTCGGCTAGCTAATCTTTTAGAACGAAAAGTAACAAATTTTAGTATGCGTGTCGTGTTCAACAATAATGGAATTAGACCATTACCTTGGATGAATTAAATGTGAAATATGATTGGTAATTCTCCCGTCACGTCACCAAGTCAGAAATTAAATTACTCAAAAATGAAAAGTCTTTCGTGGTAACTTTTACAAAAAATTTATTTGAAGAAAATGATCTTAAACTGGTAAATAAAGGTTTAAATTAGTGATGTAAATTTCTAGTTGCAGAAAAGTTTTAATCGTTTATCTAAGTTAACTCTTGTTATATAATTGTAACCCGGTCTTAAATTTAAAAAATTATTTCAGGATTCCATATATTATAATTATTTAAAAAATATTATTGACATTAGAATAAATATAATACAAGTAAAAAAAAGTTACCAGCTTAACATCCCTAGATTAAGGATTATTTTTCGAAAGTTGAACCTAATAAATTTCAAATTTTTATAAAATAAATTTATAAAAAAGGTCTGGAAATTTCGATTTCGTTTCGTCATTAATATTATCCGTTAAATTCGGTGATTTGCTCGCTATCCTTTTATTTATTTTATTATTATTACTTTTCACACAGTGTCATGGTATTGAATTGAGATCAAAATAATTTGAAAAATTATAAAAAATAAAGTAAACTTAAATATTTTATTAATAAATGAAAAGAATTAAACAAAAAATATACAAAAATTTTAAATCAGCTTGGTCGATTTTAATAATATAATATTTATAATAATAAAATAAAAGTAACGTAACGTTAATTGATACAATGATAAAACGATTTTTTAAGAATAAGATAATTTTCATTTAGCCGTTCCATTCGAAGTAAAAATTGATATCGAGAAAGTCATTTGAGAACTTGAAAATTGCTGTACATCACCAGGCCATTTCTTTTTAAGCAGGCAATAGTTTTGTTTTGTTTTAGTTTTTTGAAATAATGTTCATATCATTACATTATAGAACATTGATTTGTTGGATTGGGTTTTTTTGTAAGTTCAGAAGTAACAATGACAACTGGATTAGAAGTTTTAGCGGATGGATTCATTTTATTTTGTTAGTTTGTTAATGAAGATTATTTATTTTGATTTATCAGTTTTATTGGTATTTTGGAATTGATATTTGATGAGAAAAACTTGGAGAGAAAATTGGTGTTGTATTTATAATAAATCGTGTTGATAATTACGAACCGATAATAACAATTTTTATTATTATGATATATATAGAAAATGTACAAAGATTTATTTATAGTGATAAACAATCTCCAATGCAGGAACAATTTATTATGCAATAACTTAGTATTGTATTGTATATTGATAACCTTAAATTCGATTATTAATGATTCCTTAATTAGTTACGATTTCAATCCAAATCTAGGACAATAACGCTCCCATAGTACCAGTTAATGATTCTTTCAAAAAAAAATCTTTTCCTATCCTATTTCGAAATGATTGAAAATCTTCCCGTTATTCAAAAATGATTGTTTGTTTTATCGTTGCCATAATTTACTATTTATGATCAATATTTATTTTCTTTCACATCTTTCAAATCTGAATGTTCTAAGATCGCCACGTTTCAAATCCTAACGATCTGAAACTTATTCGTTTCGTTTACCAAAAAATCGGAACGTATTTTTTTTATTTATTTTTAATCGACGACTTTGAGTTTTTTGTTCTCCTACAAATGAATATAATATGGTTTTCAATTAATAAACTTCTTATACATTTATTTTTTATCATTTTAAAAACAACCTACATGTGATTTATTTATTATAATTATGTTCAAAAAATTTATTATCAGATGATGAAAAAAGTATAACAAATTGAAATGAAAAAACAGCGAATAAAAAATTTTTTTTAAAATAAAAAAAATTCAAGCATATATATATAAATAAAAAATACGGACCAAGGTTAAAAAAATTATTTTGTAGGGAATTAACATATTGAATGTAAATAGTTCATTGGTATTTTTTTTTTTTGAAAGGGATACAAACGGTATCACGGATTAAAGTTCCGCACAAGTTTTTTTTACCCATAAAAATATATGGATGGCTTACCATCACCTCTTTTTAAAGAAGAATACTCATTATATGGATGATATTAAAATTAATAATTAATATTTTTTTTTTAAAAAAAAAATTATTTTGTTTGATAATACTCCAAATACTTTTAAGAAATATTTAATTATTTATTATATTTATCTATTTACTAATTAAAAAATATATCTATTTTTAGTGGTATGATATTAATAATAAATTGGTTTATGGTAGAAAATAATAAAGATTGTCAAAATAATATATTTTTCTAAGCAGAAGTAGTCTACCATTAAGAAAAACCAAAAGGATTATTTCATAATCATTGTAATGCTGAATTTGAGTATCATAATTATTATTACAGATAAAGATATAAAGATATTAAATGCGCAATTTTTAATTGAGAGAAAAGTAATTGTAGCGTATACGAACAATAGAATTTTACTTCTTTCAGATCGTTAGGATTTGAAACGTGGCGATCTTAGAACATTCGGATTTGATTTGAAACGCAAAATGTATGTAGTAAAAATAAATAATAAATGGAATGAATTTTAATAAGAATAAGAACAATCCTTTGACAATGGAAAGGTTTTCGTAAAGCAGTTGCCGGGCCTTTTCCATTCGAAGCAAGAAATATTTATTTATCTTTTTTTTTTTTTTTTGAAAGAAGCATTATGAAATATTAACTATTCTATTTTTAGGAAAAATGGCGATATTTAATAATCGAATTTAAGGATATCATGCATTTACATACAATAGAATGTTATTGCATAAAAATTGTTCGATTTTTGAATTTTATCGCTATAGATGCTATATATATATCACAATACTAATAAAATAAATATCAATATTATCTCTTGTAATTATCAACTCGATTTATTATAAATACAACACCGCCTTTTCTCTCCAATTTTCCTCATCAAATAACATCAAATAACAATTCAAAATACCAATAAAACTAATAATAATTTACTACAAATTAAAAATGAATCCAACCGCTCAAACAGCTAACCCGGTTGTCATAATAACCTCTGAATTTACAAAAAAACCCAATCCAACAAATCAATGTTCTATAATGTAAAATGTTATTTCAAAAAACTAAAAACTATTACCTGCTTAGAAAGTTCTCAAGGGACCTTCTCGTTATCAATTTTTTTCGAAAGGAACGGCTTGATATGCTCAAAAGATCGATTTATATATGTATCAATTATAATAATATTTTTTTTTTAATTTTTTCAAAATAGTTGATTTAAATTTTATTATGTTTCTTTTTGTTAATTCATTTATTCTTTTTATTTATTAATAAAATATTGAAGTTTACTTCATTTTTCAAATTTATTTTCATCACAAAGTTTTCATTTCAATGCAATATTACTGATCTGTGAAAAAAAATATATAAAGTATATTTTAATGAAGGAAAAATTTTATTATAAATTTAGCGAGCACTTAAATATACGTTATTGATCTTGAAAAGAATTAGTCGATGAGTTTTCGGATCTGACCCGAGTAAACCATTAACTTGAAAAAATAAACAACGCAACGAACCCGATTGTATTTGATTCGAAACCGAATTTTACTCGAATTTTAAAGTATTATACCGGAACTTTTCATGTCTGGAATTTTTCCGGTCTCGAAAAGTAGCATATGGATGAATTCCGGATGATTAAATTTTTGTCCCAAAATATGTAATTTCTAGATATTTTCAAGACATTTTCGGTGGCATTTGAACATTTATTTTTCATAGGGCAGCAGTTTTTCGTTTCTACCGTATCTTTCACTAATTCCGGCCAATTGGTGAATAACCTGACCATCCAGTTGAAGCTACGCACAAAGATGTGCAACGCGATAATAATTCTCTTGACCAGAATTTTAACCTTGGACCTGAGTTAATCTTATAATATTTTCTTTGTAGTAGCCTTAATAATCTAGAAAAAGTAGTATAAAGAATACAAACGATAATAGTACCTTTTAATAAATCTCTTTTACTGCAAAGTCGTAAATTAAGCTTTACCTGTTTTCCTATTAGGCCACGCAAAATTGGATTTCGGTTCATGTTACACGGCCGGTTCACTTTTTTTGGTATATGTAGAAATTATATCTCGTGACTTCGAAGTATAATTTTATTGGCGCAAATATTTATAGATTAAAGATCGTATACTTTTATTACAAATTTCATTTCTTTGCTTTTTCTCTTTTTATTTTCAACTGATATAATACTGTCTTCAAAAGATGGAAAGTAATTGGTTTCATATTGACATGCAGCTTCCCAAGCAATGTGCTGAAATCGTTTCTAATAAAACACAAATCAGGTGATAAGTAGTAAACTGAAATTTTAAAATTATAGGCATTTGATATCGAAATGAAAAACTCGTACTAAAAAAAAAAGGTTATCGTATTCAAGTTTATAATCACGTGATATGAAGAAAAAATTTTATATTAACAAGTAAACTTTGAACATAACAGGAAGCTTTAAACAGTTCTATTTATATTTAAAGCTTAAAATTTTTAATAAGGACAATTAATTTTATAAATAAAACAATAAATTTAATTGTAGTTAAAAATTATATAAAATTTTATATCTTCAAAAAAAAAATATTTGATATAATATTAAAAAGTTAAAACATCAGATTATCTATTTTTATTGAATTACAATTATGAGCAATTAAGCTTAAAGAATACTATATTTTAGAATTACTAATTGTAATATACAGTATACTTATTTAGATGTTTATTTAAGATTTAATAATAATATAATATTTAAGTTTTATATTTTATTTATAAAAATAATAATATATTTAATACTTTTGAATGATTTAAATTTTGATATTAAGAAAGTTTAATATGATTTAAAGTTGATATTCATTATTAACTTATTTAATATACAAATCATTAAAATTGTAATTTATATATTAGTTGCTATTTTAAATTTATTAAAAAGTGAAATTTATTTTTTAAAATTTAATTTATGTATTTTTAATATATTTAATTGTAGTATTTTTTTAATTATTAATTTATTCTTAAACTTATAAATCTATCTGTTTAAAATAATAATGTTTAACATAATATATGAGTTATTACAAGTATAGTAATAACTTATAATTACTATACTCATTAAAATTTTTATATTATAATAATAGGTATAATTATTATAATATTATAAGTTAATTGATTTTATAATATTATATATCTAATATTTAACAATCAAATTAAAAAATAAAGTTAATCTTCAAAATAATTTGTCTTAACAATCTGTGATTAGATATTTATACTCTTTAGCTTATTGGAATTATCTAATAGTGAGAATTTTGATGAAAATTATTTCATTATGAATTAGTATTATATTGACTGAGTTATTGAATTTCAAATTTTTGGTCATAATTTTATCTTTAATTCTGATCAAAATTTTGGTAGTTATTCCAATTATATTATTGAATTATTATAAGACTAGCTAAAGCTATAACTTAAATTAATTACTATAAGTATCATTAGTTTGAATTACTAATGAAATTAAGCCTTTTTATTAAATCTACCACTTGTGTTAATATCTATAATTCTACTTATACTATTGTTATTAAAAAAGCAAAAACACCTTATTTTAATAGAGAAATTTCAATAATGATACAATCAATTAAAGATATACTTCAATTACATAATTATCATTCACTTAATCAGAGAGTTTTTCGATATTAACAATCTCAAGATACTGATTTTTACCATTATTTTCATCATCAACTATATCAATTAATCAAAACATTTCTTAATTAATATAGTCAAATCTTAATATAGAAAACCCTTGATATAGCGAATTTTTAAATTAAATATATTAAATATATCTTATTATAATGAACCAGCTAATTAAATTCTTTAAAAAATTCATTATAAGTTTATAGCGAAGTTGAGATTCAGACCCTAGAGTTCATTATATCAAGTGTTTACTGTAAATCATTACTTCTACTCAATATAGACAATATAGATCACAACTTAATGTATTATCTTTTACATTTATTAATATTTTCTTTAATAAAGAAGCTTCTTCAAATCTATTTATAGATGGATCTTTATTAGTAATACTAAAATATCATCTTTCTTCTACAAGAGTTAAACTATTTGAACTACTTACAATTGTTCACCTTCATCTTTATCTAACATATATTTGATTAGCTAAGCTATTATTTAAGGATTTAATAGTTTTATTTACAATTCCTGTACTATCTGATCAGTTAAAAAGTATCAAACTATATAATATAGACTTTAATCAAACACACTATCTTAACGTTACAACTTCAAGTTTTACTTATAAAAGTAAAAGGACATTCTGATGACTTTTTCAATAATAAAGCTGACTTATTAGCAAAAATAGATGTTACCTTGAACCTCTTACTGTTGATTTCACAATTACTGATAATCTCTGTATAGTTTTATTATTTAAAATATTCCTGTAGTCATCATCAAGAAACTTTTGAAAAAATCTTAATATTACTTTCCAATTTTTTGAACACTTAAATTTACAAAGAAATTGTACTATCAAATAATAGACTAAAAATAATAGATTAGCTTAGCTTAGTCTTTTATATTTCAATATGTAGCTGATAATGATGATATTCTTAAATTGATAATATCATTTATTCAGAGTAGAGATTGGAATCAGTTAATTTTTAACCAGTTAATTAACCGGTTAAGTCATTTATCTTATTAACCGGTTAAAGCTTTTTTTTAACCAGTTAAAATAACTAATGCTAACTCTGGTCGAAATTTACTTTTCAGGCAGAATTAAAATTTTTTTGCAATTACAAAATTTGCTAGTTTTGCCCAAATTTATAATGCCGGCCTGAGTTAAATTTAACCGGTTAATTAACCGGTTAAAGAAATTTTTAACCAGTTATTAACCGGTTAAGGATTTTTAGGCAGGTTCTAACCTCAATTCAGAGAAATAAAAAAGCTTTAAAAATTAAATTTCTTATTAATGAACTAGCAAACATTTTTAAATTGGCAGTTAGATAATCTGATATTTATGCTATAATGTTAATTCCAAATTTCTACTAGATTAAATTAATCTAAATTTGTCTAATATTTTCAAAATAATTTATCCCACAATTTTTAACAAAGACATAAGCAAACGTGCCCAGCGGGTGAGTGGGTAGCGAGACAATGTTTTTTTTTCAAGAAATGACCGATTGACATGATAGGTTAACATTAAAGTTAACGTTAATATCAAGATTAGTTTTCGGTTAATTTCCTTTTTAAGATCTTCAAATTAAGCTTTTCCTTATCAACAGTCAACAAATCTTTGTGTTGTACGAAAAATTCTCTCTCTTTCTCACTCATCCTCTCTCTCTTACATAAAATTAAAAATGTCTAATTCTTAACAAAATCGCTTCTTTGCCTAGAACTTGTTCGATATCTTGACCTCTAAAACGGTTACAAATGTTCCAACTAGAACATTAGGTTACCAACTTAAAAATGAGTAGAAAGCTTAAGAAAGAGAATTGAGAATTGCTCAAGAACACAGTACTTTAAATATGGAGGTTGAGGAACATTGAGAAACTGTTCAAGTGTTAAAGAAATGTTGAAACTGGATTGAGGGAAAAATACGCAGTTATAAAGTTTGAAGCAAGAGGAAGACAATACGGCTGTGGAAATTAAGAATCAAGGTTACGGAGTTATAAAGGGATTTGGAAAGGAAGGGATAGTTGAGTGGAATATCGGAACAATTAATGTTGTGAACCGCTCGATAGATATTAAGCAGCAAAAACATCGCTATTTGGCGAAATGAGTCTAACGTGGAGTGATGCACATTATTAGTTAGATGAATATTTAATTAAATGGGATATTTGGATAAATAAGAAAATATGTCAACCATAAATTCCTCAAAAGCTTTTCATTGATGAATTTAAAAATTGAACTTAAATACCTTATGTATTATTACAAATCTATATGTTAAGCTACAGGGACTATTATATAAACTACCAATCTATGTGCAGTTTATTTGTTTACATTGTTGCTTTTATCTATATAGTAAATATGACACGGATTTAGTAATGTAAAAAAATGTTTGAATTGATGACATATTTCGTAGCGACTTTCACATGTATCTTGTAGTCATCAGTTCTTTTATTTTTCGTCAAACACATTTTTTTGAAACTTTTAGATTATCATATTCAATTATGAGAAAATGGCCTTGCGGTGAAACATTGTACCGACGAAATTATAGTATCTCGGCTTATTTGCCATAAAGAGTTTTGACCACAACTATATCTCGTATTTTATACAGTTTTTTGAGGACAAGACACTTGATAATGTTGTATTTATGAACATTTGTGTAAGCATAATGAAAATTAAATTGAAAGCTTATAAAATGATAGAATTGGGGAACTTGAATGGAATATAAAATTCTTGTAATATATTTATAAATAACAATAAAAGTTGATGAATAGTAATACCATAGGTTTATCCAAATCGAGTTCATATTATTAATTTAATCAGAGGCATTATCGTTTGAACGTAGCGAAATCATGCGGATGCAAGTGCGAAATATAAAGACAACTTTAGCCATAATAAATCGAAAAGAAAAAATTCATTGATGGGACTACTATTACTAAGTTATACTCAGGAGCGTGTGATTTATGATGATATGTATAACAATGAATTACTCAGAAGCATGTGACTTATAATCGCATGTATAATACTTTATTATTCATTTCTTTTGGTTGCTAATTTCGTTATACATAAGTGCCCAGATATGCAAAAATTACAATTGATGGAAGATATTGAATAATAATATTTACCAAAACATTGAGTGCAATAAAAAGGAAGAAATAAACATAAATTATTTCATATAAATTGTAAAGGATTTTGATTTGCGTCTGGCTGGCCGACCAACTTTTATATCGATCATTAAACAAAATGATGCGACAGAAACAGAAATTGGGCCGCTTTAATTTAGGGTCAAAGACCTTCAAGCTAAATTTAGGAAGTTCGAGTTGACCTAAAGTTCCTTAACCAGGTAAAATAATACAAGGATTTATGCGAGAATCTTTGCAATAAGTACAGAACTTGAGCAAAGAATAAGAAGGTGAGCTACCTTTAAAATTTTATCTTTAGCTTGTTTTTACTATATTATATTTAATTTTTTTTTTTATTTAAGAAGACAGGGAAGACAGGGAAGGGAAGAAGAAAGATATGAAGATGCAGAGGAGTAATAATAATAATAATTATAATTATTATTTTTTCATTAATAAATTATCATATGGGACCGTTACCAGTAAAATCACATTACATAGAAATAATTTATTCTTTAAACCAAAGTTGATTGAAATTCAAAAAGATTATTTATAATACATTTTTATGATTGAAAAACTTGAAATATTTTTTTAAAATAGAATTGATATTGAATATTTTTAATTTATTATTTTTTTATTTATATTTTCTATCCAATACTAAATTACAAGTAACTTTGTTTCATAATTTAAAAATTTTTTATTATATATTTTTTTAAATATTGGTTCGGGAAATAAGGTTCGTTTGATTAAAGGAATATAAGTTTACAAGAAGGATCTTTTAAAATTGCTCCTGCAATGTCAATAAACTAAATCAATTATTTCAATTATTTATTATCCTTTATCAAAAAAAGTTAAATAAATAAGTATTTCAAAATATATTGACAATTTATAAAATCGGGTCGTGCATATTTAATCATATATATAATGGTATGACTAACTTATTTTTACATCTATACGAAGGTACTATATATGTATATAACCTTGTATGTTAACAATATTATTATAATTAATTAAAGGGCGATGATGCACATTTATATAAACTGAAACCGAATGTCTATGAACATAAAGCCATTTATATGTAAGTTATACTTTTTGATTTTTAAAAAAAGTTACAAATATAATAGGGGTATATTCTTGATGAAGTTCGATAGTTCTCCTTCCGCATTCTTTACATTGTTTTCAACTTATTATAGTAATTGTTCACAATCTGATGGAACCACTACAAGAATTCAAATGTTCGTCATAACTTTAAAAATTTTACATGTCATATGATCCGAGTATCTTGTTTTGAAACATTTAATGTCACAGGGACTCTATTAGTAATGGAATGACCTAATGTTTTAGCATAGTGAAATTGGAGTAGGATGTTGAAGATTAACGAAAGGGTTCAAGAAGGCTTTCTTGTAATGATTTATTCCGATTTTTATCCTAATTGAACGTGTATTTTAAGAAATAGATTTTTAAATTGTAAAATTTCTCGTGTGCTTTTTTAGAAATTCTAAAAAATAAAAATTTGATGTTAAGCATTTCGGATTATGCGACAATTTGCATTAAGTTTTTGGCGTTCGCTTAATGGTAGTAAATTCGCTTTTATTGCAACGCCTGCCATCAATAATAAAAGGTTAATTTCGACACATTTAATGCCAACGATTCCATTCAAGTACTCAAATATATTCCATTCAGCAAATAATTTTTTTATAGTTTCACCTTTTTAATTGAATTGTGTGGTTTTGTTAACGTTAAGGATAAATTATAATTCATGATGGAAATAAATGTAGTGAATAAAGTTGGATGGATTGATTGGGTGAAAATGAACCCAGCATTCGTGTAATATGAACATAACATATCTGTAAAAAAAGAAATAAGGAGCTTTACATTAAATTTAAAAGTAACTTTCCTTCTTTTAACATAAAATCCTTTCCCAAAACACCTTTTCGATAATAGCGACACTCATGTATCATAATACTCTCTGGTTCGACACTTTCATCTTTTTTAAAAAAAAGTATCATGAATTTCAATAATTATCATATAAAAAATTTAAAGGTTCATTGTGTCAAAGCTTATAAGAGACGACGGTTAAATAATCCTGAGATTTTTTTTTAGCTATATTCCTTTTTTATTTGTAGACTTGCTCGGCAACCAATTTCTCGAAATGAAAATATTTTGCACGTGACCTTCTCAAAGAAAATACGTGTATGAAGTACTGTATTTAGATATTAATCATAGTACCCTAATCTACCTTTTAGGATATAAATAACTTCACTTTTTAATATAATAAGACACAATTCAAAATAGAAAATAGGCTCAAATGGTAAAAAATGAGTTGACTCGACCAGCTATTTTAAATAATCAGTCGAGTATGTTGTGTGTGATTAAAAATTGGTTTTTTTATATATTATTTTTCTACTTACAGTGCAATAGAATTTTCTGATCTTTTTTTCCCTGATCCAGTTTGAAACAGGTTTTTAACAATAAATAATGATCAAAAAAATTTTTCTTTTTTTCGATTTATTCTCTCTTCTTTAAACTTTCAAAATAAAACTGACGAAAAATACTGCAAATAAAAATTCTAAAATTCTTGATGTTAATCATTTTAAAATCTCTAAAATAAGATATAATAAGTTTGGAATGGAGAGTGTTACAATTTTCTTATTAAATATAATGGTCGTTTGCTATTAAAATTAGGTTACGAGAGATAGTAAATCATAAGATCCGAACATGAATTTTAATAGCAAACCTCCCATATTTAACCCGCAGAAAACCAAACACATACTGAACCTTTTTTACGAGGAAGGCTGATTGCAGGGTATGTTATGAATATTTTTTTTAAAAATTATTTATTATTAGTAATTTTCTAATAATAATATTTTTTTTCTTTTTAGACGAGAAATAAAAGTAAAAGAAATCGGTGTATGTGGACATAAGGTATTATCTCTGCGAATGGCCAACCGCTATCGCAAGGCCACAACAACAACAACAACAACAACTAGAAACGCTACAGCAGGAACTCATGTTGAGATAATTTAAACTGTTGAAGTCAACATGAAACATGAATTCAGCGAGTTGCATTCCTAATAATGCTGTTTTGGAATGTATACTATAAATATTTATTTGAGAGGTTATTTCAAAAGTTACCTTTAATAATATTTTCTTTTCGCAGTATGTATTTGCAAGAACAACCGAAACCACAAACACAACAACAGCAGCTTTCATTTGGCGAAGTCATCCATTTGAATTCATTTTTACTCCACAATAAGATAATAGGAGTATGGATGCTTTTTTGATGCACTCAAACTTGGCAAATTAGTACCCAAATTCAAGTTTGCTTCATATCACATGCATCAGCCTTTTTGGTGTGTGATACACTAAAATTTGTAAACTTTACAAGACCGTCCTCGATGCAGGTGCTCTAGAATCAATACTACCCTATGATATCTGTCGATGATTTCTTGATAACATATTGTATTCGATCATTGAATATGGATATGTGGCACCTGCTAAATTGACTTTAGCTATTAAGTTCAAGTGGATTGATACAATTCAATAACCCAATTAATCTATTGGGACAAGCATAATTGGAGCAGTCATTTATTGAGCTGTTAAAGCGTCTATATGAAGAACGTGAGGATAGAACAGTAGAATAGCAGAATTAGGCATGATATAAATATTTCTCATAAGTTTATCAAAAAGTTGCTGTTATTAATATATTTCATAATAATAATTAATTTTTTAAAGGTCATTAAGGAAATAACACCAATTGAAACACTAATATCAACTGTCTTCATTTTACAAAACAGCAAATTTATCTAAGTTTGCCTGCTCTAATATTGAGCTGTTGAAGCTTTAATTTGAGGTTGGATGACCTGCTATTAAAATTACATTACAGATCATATGTTATACTAATGTTATAATGTTGATTGAATAAAAAGAAATATCTAATTAATAATCACGAATGTATTGTTTCTTAAATGATCTTAGATTTGATAGGCCAAGTGTGATTATTCTTCTCGCCAATGCGAGTAGAAGTTGAGAAATCTGGGAGGGATTATAGGGTAAGTAAATAAATAAATAATAATATGTTGATAAATGTAACTTAATAAGTAATTAATATGTATCCTTTAGGACTTTTGTGATTAGCGTAATAGTGCGAGAAGAAGAGGAAGGTAGTCATATAATGGAAAACAATTTTATGATCTATTTTGAACTAGGTTTTGGGATAGGTCAGATAATTATTATGTTTAATTAATAGTACTTAATAAAAATTTTAGGAATTTTTAGATTTATATTAAGTATCTTTTACATTTTTTAGTTATGAGGCATCATCAAAGTAGAGCCCGTAATGTGCCAATAGCGAACCAATAATTAGAGGGTAAGAAGTAGAAGGTTTAATTTTTTTGTTTTTTTTTGTAATTTTTTTATTTTTTATCAAGATTTTAATTTTAATTTTTATTTTTATCATAAGGGTTTTATTTTTTTAATTTCTTTTTTTACTGGAAGTAGGATTTTCATTTTGTGATGTTTATTTTTTCATTGTTTTTTTTTTTATTATTTTTTTTATTTTTTGTTTATTTTTTCAGATAAATAAGTAATATTAATTATTTGTATTTTGAACTATCATTAATAAATTTTCTTACTTTTTTCTTTTGTTTAATCAAAACTTTTAAAAATAAATTTATATTTATCATTATAAATTGTTTTATTTAAGATTAATTCCAATTTTTGCATTACCAAAATTGCTTCAAAATCACTTTAACTTTAACCACAAAGTGATTATTCTATAAAATGACATTATAAAATTAACTTTAATTATATCATAGTAAAATTATGTTTGTATTTTCCTTTTTTAGTAATTATTTATTATACTGAATAATTCATTATAGTAATAATGAATTTTCTTATAACGAAGGGCTGATCAGCCTGAACGCTAATTTCTTTATATTGAGATATAACTGTATGAAGTATTACTAATAAAATTAATAAAATATAAAAATTTTTACTTTATTCTTTTGTAGATACCTAAGCTCTTTAAAATCCTAGAATCATGAAAGTATGTTATTTATTTTTTCTTTTAATTTAAAAAAAATTAAAATTAAAATTTACATCTTTTTATAAAGGCTAAAACCCTTCAGAATCATGGAATCCTACATATTAAACAAAAGTAAGTAAATATCCATTTTTTTCTTTAAAATTAAAAAAAATTTAAATTAAAAAATTTACCTTCTTTTGTAAATGTCGAAGTCCTCTAGAATTTTGGAATCTACGAAATGAACAAAGATAAGTTATTTATTTTTAGTTTAATTTAAAAAAAATAACTATTTTTGTACGCTTTATAGGATTTCAAGATTCTAAAGGTTGCGGTATCAGGATTCTAGCGGCTTTAGCATTTACAAAAAAAAATAAATGTTTTTAATTTAATTTTAATTTGTTTATATTTTAATTTAAATAAATTAAAATTAATATTAAAAAAACTTACCTTCTTTGTAAATGCTGAAGTTCTGGAATCTTATGAATCAAATAAAGATAAGTTATTTTTTTTCTTCTAATTTAAAAAAAAATAAAAAATGAAATTAAAATTATCTTATCTTTTTTTTGTAGATGTCTGGAATACTGGAATCTTACAAATAGAATAAAGATAAATAATTTGTTTTTTTTTTTAATTTTAAAAAAAAAATTAAAATTTACTTATCTTTTTTGTAGATGTCAAAGACTAGAATCTTATAAATCTAAAGAAAGTAAGTATTCATTTTCTTTAAATTTAAAAAAAATAAATTAAACATTTGTTTACCACTTTTTGTAAATACTGAAGCCTTCTGAAATCCTGAAATTGAAAGAAGGTAATAAAATAAAATAAAATAAAATTTATTTACCTCTTTTTGTAATATTAAAAAAAGAGATAACTACCTCTCAAATTCCATTCCTTTATATATATTTTTCTTAACTTTTCATAATAAAAAATAAAAAACCAGTTTTTGTAAGCAAAGAAATTTTCGATCATATAACCTTCATTAATAGTAAATACTATGTAAATACAACTTTGATAAACCAAACAAGATGATTGACAAAAGTTAAAATTAAAAACTTTTTTCTTTATTATGTAATAATAATTTTTTAAAAAAATACATTATATAAATCATTAAATTTTTTTATTTTTTTCTAAATGATCAGTCAATTAATCAGTCAGTCAAAGGCCTTTGACCAACCATTGACTGACCGTTGATCGACTATGACTAACCATTACCATCCCTAATTAAAATATTAATTATAATATATAATTAATTAAATTTTAATTGAATATGATTAAATAAATAAATTTTAGTTATTTTTACAAATTAGATTCTATTTTATATTAAATAAATCTAAGTTGAACTATAAATAAATTAGGATTAATTATTATATTAATAATAGAATTGAATTAAAATTAAATTAAAATTAAATTAGAGGTGATTAATATATTAATAATATATTAATTAAATAATTATATAATAAATTTATAAATTTTATATTATTTTTTTTATTAATTTGCATTCTTATTTTTTTAGTATTTGAATTTAAAATTATAACATTTATAAATTTTTTAATTACATTTTTATTTTACTATATAATTATTATTTAAAGAAAATTGTTTACTTTTAAAAACATATTTTTTTTTACAATATAATTTCTTTTTTAAGCATTTTATTTGTGATCTAAAAAAATAAAGTTTTAAAACATTTTAATTTAAATTTAAATTTCTATTTTTATTTAATTAATATATAATTTATAATCTTTAATTGGTTAAAATTTTATAAAAGATTAACTTATAACTTACTATTTTAACAATTAATTAGTCATTTAACTTTTTTATACTAAATCAAAAAATTGATTTTGAAAATAATTAGTATTTTATATAAAAAATAATTAGCATAATTACAAATCATTTATTATAAAAAAATTTAAAAATTTAAATTTATTATTTATTTAATTTTTAGGTTTAAAATAATACATTCTTATATGATTTATTAATATATAATTAAATTTTTAAATATTAGTATATATGTCTTTTTTTATTAATGTATATTAAAAATTATATTAAATTCTTATTTTTATCAAATTAATTTAAATTATATTTCTTTCATTTAATTTTTTTTTTGATCATTTGGTAAACTGCTAAAATAAAAATGTTAATATGATTTTATATTAGAAACAGTTATTAAATAATTTATAAAAAATAAATTTATATAATAACAAGTTTACCATATACTATTATTTAATAAATTGCTTTCTTAAATTATTTATAACAAATTCTAATATTGATTACTTGATTTCTATATTTTTTTTTAATATAATCAAATAAAGAATCAGAATTATAAAATTTATTATAATTTTTTTATACTAACCCATTATCATATATAATACATCTGAATTGTTAAAAGAAAAAACAAATAAATTCATCTTCAAAAGTTTAGGTGTAACTTTTATTTAAAAAATAAAATAATAAAATCAATTCTGAATTATTAAATGTAATTTTTATTAGGAAAATTATAACAAATGTTGTATTTAAACTATCAGAGATAGAGTTATTTTTTATCTTAACCAGTATAATTATTATATTTAATATATAAATATTCCTTTTCTACATGTCTAACTTTTTGAAGAAACTTATATATCATATTTACTATTACATTACTTTTTTTAAAATGTTTTTTAGAAGTTTATTTTTTCTAATGATAAAATTTAATTATAAGTTTTATTTATTATTAGTTTGCAAATACTAAATAATATATTGTAAAAGAAAATTTAAAATAAAGTGAGCCTACTGATTAAAATGAATATAGAATTGATATGTATTATGTCTAATTATACTGTTAGCTTAAAAATTTAAAAACTTTTTCAAAATCTTTAAATAACTTTTTTTTTAAATCTATAACAGGACTAAACTTAATTAAGTTTAAGAAAACTTATTAGAAATTTAGTTAAAAATATTTATTATAAACAAATAGTTTAATTTTAAATATCTTAAAACTTAAATTTTCTAAAAATAGTTTAGAGAGATATCATTAGTTATGACAAATCATAATATATATATATAATTATAGGATCTTCTTTTACTTTTATTTTTTGCTAATAATTTATATTTATCAAATAGATTTTTAATATTTTTATATTCTTCAATATTATTTTTTGTAATTTGCATTTAATATTTAAAACTTTCATAAATAAATTATATATAATTCATTAGCATAAGATTGAAATTTTAAATTTAATAATATATTATGC